TTGTAAATTTGCCCCCATTTATCTACCAAGTTGCTAATTGGTCCTTACTTTATAATTAGATTCTAAAATCAAACCATAATTACAAATCAATCCAAAAGAATGGTTTGTTTTTTGGGAGAAACACGGAGGAACGATGTAGTGGTTTTTGTTTTTACTCTTTTTTACTTTATGTTTTTTTAGTGCTCTTTATGTTTTTTTAGTTTTTAATACATTGAATTTTTTTAACTTTCTTTTTTCACTTTAACTTTTTCAACACATTTATTTTAAATTGAAAAAATATACTCCAAATTATAATATGCTCCAAGGTACATTTTACTCCCTCTGTTGAAAAAAGATCTTCCAATTATACGCATTACGAAATTTGGCCAACTTTATTTTCGATTCAATTTATTTGATTGTATAGTAGGTGTAAAATTGAAAATTAAAATTTATATAGTAAAAAATTAGATAAAGAATTCTACAAAACACGAGGTGACGTGACTATCTTATTTTATGAAATGGTGAGTTAAAGGGTGGTCAAGTTGTTTTTCAAATAAACCGCTCATTTATTTTTTTTTTAAATTTCAATTAGTTTTTTAAAACCATTTTTAATTTCATATTCTTAGTTTCAATTTTTTTTTAGTTTTAATTATTTTAGCAACAGAGTTAACGCAACTGATTATGCCGTTGCAAAAGTTGAATAACTTGTTGCAAACAGATTGCAACGGGAAAACCATTGCAAAAATCTGTTGCAGAAAGCTCCCAGAAAAAGGCGCCAACCTCGCGCCAAAATTGCAACAGACATTATTACTTTCCGTTGCAAAAATGACCGTTGCAAAATATTTCTGTTGCAAACAAAATTTCCGTTGCAATAGTGCAACGGAAAAATGTCTGTTGCAATATTTCTGTTGCAAATATGAGATTTTCTTGTAGTGCATTGATAATATCGTGACAATGGTTATGATAATCATGAGTAAATAGTTGTAAGTTAGGGTTAAAAAGTATAAATATAGAAAACGATATTTGCACACATTTGAATTAACATTAATTGTTGAGCAATGCTAGGGGTACACCAAAAGTGTACTCCAAATGTACACCATCTACTTCTCCACCACACATTTTTATTTTATTTTTATTTATTTATTTTTTTTTGAATTTATTGCCTTTTTTGTGTGGACAAGGAGGGTGTGGGGGACAAATAGGGTACACATTTGGTGTACTCCTAGCATTTTTCTTAATTGTTTTATCCTTCTACAAATTTTATTACCATTTACTATTTATCAAGTCAAATTTTATCTACTCTTTTAAAATATTTAAAATAACTTTAGTGGAAGGTGGGAATAATAAGTTAATCAACTTAATCCTGTTTGGAGAAAGAAAAAAATCAGCATTCACGTACTCCTTTCATTCCATAATAATTATTTATTAAAGTTTATTAGATACATTAAATTTTGAATGAATGTAGTAAATATACTTAAGTTTATTTTTATTCAAAGTCTAATATATTTAATAATTCTTAACAAAAAGTTATTATGAAAATGATGGAGTATAATTTTAGCTTTATTGTTACTAATTTTTTTCTACTTATAATTTCCTTTATTAATACCATAGTAAATTAATAATTACCACAAATTTTATGGTTGCCTTTGGTTACATTCCGTAAGAAAATACTTCTGCTTTTATATTTTATTTAAAAAGAAAATAAAAATAAAAAATTCACTACCTACATGCGGCTACATCTTAAAACTTTCTTTCTAGACATTATTTACATGATCAAATTTTAATTATTTTCTTTATCTATTTTCGTTAGCTACTGTATTTAATAAAATAATATAATTGTGTCACCTCTTCTTTTACTCCGTATAAAACTTTTGATGTTGATGTTATTTTCAATATATAACCAAATTTTATGATTTTTTTAAAAAAATGGAAAAAGTGTAAGGAAGGGCCGGGTTTCGTTTGCCATATTCATTCACTCGCAGCGGCAGCTTCATCGGTCCATGGGCGTCAGTGACGGCTAAATGAAGTCCAGAGTCGCGGCTTCAATCTCCTCCTTAGCTGGTTCCTTGCTATCTGATACCCGTAACATTCTTCTCAAACCCTAACTTTTTTTTCCTGAAATCGCATTTTTGTTTATGTACATTTGTAGGTGGTCGTTCGATAAACATTTGCAGAACACTTCCAGTCCAACGAACATGTGAAGCGTTGAAATTTAGGTATAATTTCATATTAGATTTCGTGCAAAACGATTGTTGTTTTCTATATTGCCCTTGGAAAAAAGCCAGGATTTCGTTCCTATTCGATTGTAACGTCCTATGCGAATAGCACTTAGATTTTTTTTGTCTATGGATTATCTAGGCCGTGGAGCCAAGGGATTGGAAGCTCAAACCGCTCATTCATCAGCTTCGTAAAGGAAGATGACAGCTTTGCAGAATTGGGCCCTGCTGTGAATGAAAATGATGCTTCAGGTCTCAAATTGGCAACAGAGAAACCGGAGCGCTTTAAGGTAAATGTACCATCATTTCAGGGCTTCTAATTTGGATTCATTACTACAGGCTACACTTCATAACCTGCGAAACTCGTTTCAATTATTTTATGGACCGGTCCGGCCTATCTGCCAACCTGAGTCCCCTTGGGGTGAGAACAAACATAGTAGCATGTTCCAACCCAAGTCTAAGCCCAACCATCGTCTTTGGAAATGACTTGATGACCGTTATAGCATATGATTTCGTATGTAAATTGTAGGACTATATATGTGAGAATTTAGTATCAAAGGGGCTCCAGCCTCCAAGTATGGGAAATAGGCATTCACAACTGACAACTACTACAACTATGTTTGGTTCAGGGAATTTGAGAGGGATAGAAAAAGAAAATGAGAAGGAAAACATTTTTTTTTGTTTGGTTAGAGGGAAAAAGAAAAGAAAAGTGGAAGGAAAAGAAAATGAGAAGGGAAAAAGTACTAAGGGGAGGGAAAACCAAATTCCTTCCATTTTGGTGAGGAAATTGAGGGAAAACTATTTCATTTTCTTTTCCTTTCAAATTTCTTGAACCAAACATAGTGTACAAGCAATAAGAAGTGAAAACTACTTGAGCATTTTCATTGTTGAAGGCCTGAAGGGTTTATTACCGTGGTGCACAATCCAAAGGATGTGTGACGATTATCGTTTATTAGCGATTAACATGTGGCACATCCACTTATGTTCTTTACTTAGGCCCCCGTTTGATATTGGTGTGCTTCTAAGTCACATTTTGTACGAAAAGTTCATTTGATAAGATAGTGTGGTGTGCACAATCCAAAGGATGTGTGACGATTATCGTTTATTAGCGATTAACATGTGGCACATCCACTTATGTTCTTTACTTAGGCCCCCGTTTGATATTGGTGTGCTTCTAAGTCACATTTTGTACGAAAAGTTCATTTGATAAGATAGTGTTTAGCGCAAAACTTTTCCATGTTTTGCAAAAAAAAAACAATTTTGCACCAAAAAAACACGCCCACTCTCGCAAGTCAAATCACTTAATGTCGTAACTTACTAAACAAACCTTTTTCATGCCAACACAACTCCACACTTACTAATTCACAAATGCCAAAGTGTCCCTTATTCATAGATTATTCGGTTTTATGTTGAGCCAGCCTTGTTATAATTTAATATGTTGATAATTGCATGTGTCTTGTTTATCTTTATGTAATTGGAGAAAGTAATGAGAAGCTCTTTTGGCACAGTGGCAAAATGACTTTGTAAGAAAAAGGTTATCCAACAACAACAAGAGTCATCCAGTGAACAAGTGTGGCGGCGAGAAGGGAAGCATCTTAACTCGTGGTGAATCAAATCAAGTCATGAATCAACTTCTGGGTTCTTTTAGTGCAAACAGGTCGACTGATGCAGTCAAAGTCAATGACACTGGTGCTCTGGGTGAATCCAGTCAACCCATGGAGGAACATATGGATGATGCCTTCATTACAAATAGTTCAACAATCAGAATCAATGGTGTTGATGACCGGGTATCCATCCACGACATACATTCGCTCTGTGGAAAGGTTGGAAATTTTGAAGGATTGACATGGGTGGGCAAGGATTCTGTGGATGCATTCTTTAAAGTTGGGAGTGAATCAGACTCGACAGGAATAGTGAGGAAGTAAGTATGCTCGCCATGGTCATTTCTTAATATCACTTTTTTTTAAAGATTATACACACACACACACACACACAGAGAGAGAGAGAGAGAGAGTGTGTGTGTGTGTTCCCTATTCTTTATAGTTCTTTCCAGTCTGTTTATCTTTGTGACGACTGACGAATTTACCCCTGGGGAAGGGAAAAGGGAGACATGGGAGGAAGAAGTGTATTTACTGCACACAATCTACATAGTAATTCATTGTTCTCCTGATTTTTTTAAATAGGCTGAATGGTTATAGCATTGCTGGGAGCCACTTAGTAGCATCTATACTTCCAAACAACTCTAAGGCATCCATTCCCGAAAAAGAGATTGATTGGCCCGAGAGGGGTCTACGGTTCAGCACTACCCTTGATGAACTCAAAAAGCAGATGGAGTTGAAGAAGATGTACTATCAAGATTTGGAGATGCTGTATCACGAGATAATGCACATCCAGTGCCCGCCCACTATTAGTGATGATTAATAACGCCGATGGTCTGTTTTTGTTGCAAGGCTTTGCTAAGTGAAATATTCAAGACCCCTTAGAGTTCTCAGATTTATGTGACTATTATGTGACAATAGTACAACTTTTTTTTTTTTTTGTGAATTGTCGGTCTTAAGAGCCAACATGGGGACTCCATCCACTTGGTTTCGGTCAATTATATAGCACATGATATGAAAAAAAAATCTATGACTTTTTAAGTTTTCACTCATCTTTTATCATCATCAAGTTATCTCTTAGGGTTCTTTTGCTAAGGTTTACTAGGGAACCTAATCTGTGTGGTGTTGGTACAAATTACATATGAAACACACTGATCTCATGAAAATATGATCATAGTCATGATTATGGGTCACCAATCACCATGTCCAATCCCACATATAACTGTAAGGAATGAATCTTACTCCATATATCAAAGAACACACAACCCTAGGCCCTACCCTAGAAACACTGCCTTTGCACAAATTTGGTTAATTTAGTGGCAACACACACACACACACACAATGTCACCAAACATTTGGAGAGTGGTTAGTCATTAGACGTACTCCTTTTAGGGTACGTGTCCTCCGACATCCCACAGTGTTTTTCTAGTCCTTCAGATTCGGACACTCTCAACGACGAAGAACATTCTGCAATCTGATAATCACCCTCGTCAGTTTCCAAACTATGTTCATGGCCTCCCTGATTAAGTGACAAGTCAAAGAGAGTCGCGGCCCCATGGGGTTGGGTTCTCATCTGCACAGACCTCAAAAGTGCCGCCCTCCTCAAGTCAGCCGAGTGGCATATGTCGCTTGGTGATGATGGGAACCGGCCCTCGGAATCCGAGCCTCGCTGGCGGGCACTACAAGGTGAAACATGATGAGAGTTGCATCCGTGGGTCGGAGTGGTTTGAGAGAATGGTGAGAGCCCACTCAATGGCCTCTGGTGTCTGTGTGGAGAAACAGGACTGGTTGGCATGCTGCTGCTCTCTGGCTGAGATGAACAAACGTGCATGGAAACTTCATAGCTCGGCAAGTCATCTGAATCTTCCGACATTGGTGAATATTGTAGGGATAAATCATCTCTGTGAATCTCGTAGATCATAAAAAAGAAGTGTTAGTGTCAAACAAGATTTGCCTAAATATAGAACATGCTTTCAGACCTTGGAGAATACACAAGACTATCATCAGCTAAGTTATCTCCAACAGTCAATCCATTTAAACTCGATGCCATTATCTGCAAAGAAAGAAAAAAGAAGAGGAACACGAGTAAGTTTCCATTCTTCCCTCTTGTCTCTTTGGCATGGACGCGTTTTTATTAGAGACAAGATTATGGAGAGTTCTTAGAGCAGCTATGGACAGATTAGCTCACAGATCAAACTTGAATTCGACTGGTTGTAATCTTATACACCACAGGCATAAATATGCTTCTACAAGAAGGTTGCCATGGCAGACTTTAATCCACCGGAAATAAACCATTTGTATATTAAGAGTTTGATCCTATCTCCAGAGATGGAGGGAATGTATATATAGGTTCAAGAGGTTGATCACGCAGGCGATCAAGTAGAAACAACAACCAATCTTCATTTGGGTCGGTCGCCAATTTCTCAAAAAATCTTTTTCGCCTAACAGAATACCATTATAAGTACATCCTACAGCTTCATCAGACCGCTTAACCATCTGCAATAGTTCTTTATCTAACGGATCTTTTCGTTCGAGTTCTTTTTCCTCTTCCTAGGCACGAATTGAGTGCAATTTTGTGAAAATGGCTCTGTATATTTCAGCAAAAGGGCAAAGGTACTCATATTACAAATCTGACCAAAACGCCTTAGCTCATTTCAAACGAATCAGAGAAAATTCTAGGCAATGGCTATAACCCCTCGCCTCACAAACCGATAGCATCAGAGATTGAAACAACAAGTAGACTACACTTCCCCCACAATCCTCGGCAGTAAAAACTTTCTATCTAATGTCGATTTCCTATGTGAGCTCTTGAAGCTCCATAAATTACTTCGAGAAAATTGAAATGTTAAAAGGAAAAATCTGGGATTATTACATGGAAATGGGAATAGGTTAGAGCGATGGAGGATTGGAGGGAGGGAGATAAGGGTAAAGGGCACCTACCTCACTGAGATAACGCTTGTGGGAGTGCAAATTGTCGATATAAACCTCGTCTTCAGGGTCTCGACTTCGCTTCGCAGCGGGGGATGAGGACGCCGTGGCCGCCGCCGAGGAAGGCGACGCCGGCGATACGTTGGTTTCCGACCCCATATCAGTGAGAACCCATCATCTCCCTCCCCGTCAATTCATTTTCCACACTGCTCAGTGATGGCCTGAGGAAAGCCGTGCGAGCTTCCAACAAATGGATGAACGTTAACCCGTCACTTTCACTGTTTCACAAATTGAGAATCTGCAAAGGAAAGATGGGTTTTCTATCCTAAAGAGAACGATTTGTTCTTTCCATTTTTTAAATGCAATATCAATAATTTTTTAAAGCAATTTTAGAATATTAAAATTTTACGTACAAATCTATTCAAATATTCAGATCATATGAAGAGAACATGACTTAAATCTCGATTGACAAAGTAGAACAAAGAAAGTATAACATTGATCAATTTGAAGACTCTACGATACTCTATTCAATCATGAAATTGTTTTTACTATAAAAGCTTCAAACCTTGGAATCTTCACCCTGATTGTGCCTGCTTTAAACCTCCCCTCCAATGGTCCCGCCCACTTGCTAATGCCAGCTTCCAAAGTGGGGGAAGAAGCACTACTGCGAAATCGATCTTTAGATTTTTTGTTAGATCGTGATGTAAGACTATTATTCTTTGCATCATATCTACAAACACAAACATTAAACTTAAAATTTTAACTTAGAGTGCATGTACCATCATTTGGTTTAATTCATTCTTTGTCCCAACCAACCGTGTAGCGCTAGCGCTTCGTGTTCCAATCGCTAAAAGTAGTCGTCGTCTGACCATCGCCTGTGCCCGTCTTGCCCTAAATGGAATTGTTACGTTGCGCCCCGGCCCGAGTCCCCACGCCCACTCGAAACCCAATAAGTTGGCTTTGCCAACAACATTAGGGACGACGCCTACAACCTAGGTCCCCTTCTTTGCGGTGTCTACTAGCACGAAATTCAAATCATGACATTGGAATTAAGGATATTAATTTCATTTCTATTTGATAGTACAAAAATATGTTTGTTTGAAATCGATAGTAAAAAAATGAACTCGAATAGGAGAATTTATCAAAAAGAAATCACCCTACATAGCACTCTAACTCACCCTAAATTACGCATCTAGCACTACTCATTGTTTTTAACAAATTTAGCACTTTTTTGGGGTCAATCCTTTCCTATCATGCCCTTTAACCTTTTTCTTTTTCTCATTAAAAATTACGGCACTCCCTAGGCCGCACATACTCTTCTTGCGCTCGGCCGCACGTTCTCTTTCAGTCGTCCGCCATCATGCGTCCTCAGGCCTTCTCCCACGATTCTTGGGCCGATCAGCAGCGGCAATCATCAAGTTATCTCCGCTTCCTTCATCGATGTGGCTAATCATTTTCTCTTCTCCTTCAATTTTTAATTTTCATTCCTTCATCCCTTTATTCGGATTTCCATGTATTTTTAGTTTTAATTATTGTGTTTTATTCGTACTGAAGATTAGGTGGTGTGAAATCAATTTTGAAATACCTAGTATTTGTTCCTTTTGAAAAATTAGGTCTTTTGAAAGGCATTGTGATTTTGGCAGTGTTAAGATTATGTGCTATGGTGTGGGCAGTGTGAAGATTAAATGCCTAAATGTTGTCCTGCATTTTTAGTTTTATTTATTTCCTTAATCCTTAATATCTGAATTTGGTTCTTATCCTTAAAAAAACTTTGCATGTCAAAAAATTAAAAAATAAATTTACCTAAAATAATCCCACCTTTCATTTATTTTCCAAAAATATGTATTTTCAAAAAATCCTGTTTAGTGGCCGTTAGTTTTTTAACGGCGGTCCAAAACTTACACATATGCAGAAAGGTGAGATTAATATGTATTTGTTTAATATTCTGAAGTTTGCAATGTGACTAAAACGCCTATCATGTATATATATACGATGCGTTTTTGTATTCACCACCTCCATTAAATCCAGCATTTTCATCGCATATTAGGTTATACGTCTATTCTTTGAGTTCATTCCTTTATTTAATTTAATTGAATATTTTCTCTTTTATTATTTAAAAGGAGCATCACAGATGGGTCCAAATTTGACGATATTGCTACGTGTTGATGGGACATGGGATACTCATGGAAAATTTATATTGTGGCAGTGTAGATATATTGTGGCAGTGTATATATTGTGGCATTATATTTTAGATATTGAATTTTTGGCGGTGCATATATTGTGGCAGTGTATTTCAGACATTGAATTTTTGGAAGTACATATTGTGGCTAACATTATGGCAATGTATATATTGTGGCAGTGTATTATATTATATCTATTCTCTTAATTTCTGAGTAGTTTTTCTCTCATTTTACAACACGTTATCAGCATGAATTTGCTCAAAAATCTCAGAATCCTTGTTCTTCTCAGAAGGTATATTTATTTAATTTTCTTCATAAACAAACTAAAATATTTTCTTAGAAACTATGAGAAGTATGCTCTGTGATTGCCCGAATTATGGCAGTGTATATATTGTGGCAGTGTATATATTGTGGCATTGTATTTCAGACATTGAATTTTTGGCAGTGCATATATTGTGGAAGTGTATTTCAGACATTGAATTTTTGGAAGTAAATATTGTGGCTAACATTATGGCAGTGTATATATTGTGGCAGTGTATATTTTGTGGCAGTGTATATATTGTGGCAGTGTATATATAATACAAATTTGTTTAATTAAGGGTAATATTGGGAATTCATCTCAAAAACTTATAGCACTGCTATTTTGCGTATTATAAGCCTATTAAAGTGCTATATTCGTATTTCTCCCTTTATCAAATCCAATTTGTTTTTATAGAATTTCAGTTTCAATTAAATTTAAATCTCGTTAACTCCGTTTACCAAACAGACCATTAGAGTCACGACATAATAACACCAAGAGTGATACCAAGAATAACATCATTAGTGTCACATACAATAATTTTTAATTAAGAATTAGTCTCTCCAAAAAGAATCAGATGGGGATGCATTCCCAAGTGTAGGGGCGAGCATGGTATGACACGATAGAGTATTTAACTCGCAACAATGTTCAACAAATTTTTCGTTTTAATATGAGATTTTACGTCCAATTTTGAAATTTTAATTCGGTCTGACTCAGACTAGTTCGATATCATTTAGATACAAATCAAGATTAATACAAACATGTCTAATGACACTTAAAAATGTAATAAAACCTTTTATTTTTGAATTTTTTAGGATGGATTCGAAAGGTAAGGAGAGATTTACGAAAATTGAACGGTCCAAAAACTGCTTCTCTTGTTGTCAAAGATAGAGATGTAATTGGTTGCCTGTGCTTCATTCCCTCTTCCATGGCCATCCTTCATATAAAGATGGCGACGAGTCTGGACTCCAATTTCCCCAGAGCTTTTCCCCCCTTCAAATCGCCCTGCATTTCGCAGGGCACCTTTTGATCGACCCGACCCGACCCGATATTCGCCTCGATCCTAACGATGAAGGAGGAAGAAGAACGCGCCGTGCCCCCGCCGGCCACCGACGGCGCCGTCAGCTTCGAGATCGCCTCCCCACCCGACATTGAAGGCGCAGACGGCGCCGCCAGCTTTGAGATCGCCCCACCGCCCGCCCCAACCAAAATTGAATTCGCGAACGACGACGTTTGCGAAGATGTAGCGGCCCCGCCCGCCCCAACCGAAACTGAAGGCGCAAACGACGCCGTTTGCTCGGATGCCGCCGCCCCGCCGACCCCCACCGGTGGCGGAAGTTTCAAGAAGAAGAACCGCAGCAAGTCGTTCAGCCTCCTCAAGGCGGCGCTGAACATCTTTTCGCCGGAGAACGAAAAGAGCAGGCCGTCGTCGGCGAAGAAGAAGAAGACGAAGAGCGGCGGCGACTGGAAGACGGTGGTGGGGTCAATGCGGCCGTTGACCCTGCAGGACCGGTCTCCGACCCCGTCCCTCCCGTCCATGTCGCCCTCCTGTTCCTACGAAAACCTGGCGACGCTCACCGGCTCCCCGTCGCCGTCGCACGTCTCCTCCTGCGGCAGCAGCACGATGAGCCGGTACGCCTCCGCCACAAATCTCCAAGATCTGGACGCCGCCGGCTCCGATCCCGACGAGGTGTTTGACGCCATCGAAGGTGACGAGATGATCGACGTCAAGGCGGAAGAATTCATCGCCCGATTCTACCAACAAATGAAGCTCCAACAACGTCAGCATCATCACCATCACCATCGTCATCATCAACGCCTATAAAACAAATTGCTCTGCTAAATTAAATGATAATTACGAGTAATTAATTACAGAATGAACTAATTTAATTGATTGTATTAATTTATAATCATATCAGCCCATTAGGCCACACTACGGAGTACATCCCTTGTCCATAAACGGAGTATCATTCTTCCTGTTAATTACCAGTACATTTTTTATTTTTCTTTTTTTTTTGTAAAGAAAATTGTTTTATTATTGCACGCCAGTCAAGAGTAATTTTTTTTGTTGCTAAACACGGTATAATTAACGAGATTTTTGTTAATCTTTCTCATGATGTGTTATCATGCAATTGTTAGATTAGAGGCATGTTATTTGTTAAGCAGTTTGATTAATTTTTTTTTACTCAATATAACTTATTATATTAATAATACAAAAAATTGAAAAAAAATGATCTCAATTGTTCTACTCTAGCTGGGCAGCTATTTTTAATTTATGATATTTGATTGCAGTTATGTTCGATTAAATTTACTTAAATATTTGTGTAAATTAAAAAATAGAAATTATACTTATATGACATTTCTTTTGTGGAGTATTTGATACAAAAATAATTTTATTAGGTTTATTTATAAAATATTTCTTGACCTACATAATATCAAATGTAATTTTTGTTGAATTATAAGTCAAAATTCAATTTGAAATAACGATAAAAGTTTAAATTAGACAAATATTCTAGACAAATGAGAGAGTATTAGAAAAAAACATCAAAGTTAAACAAAATGATAGGTAATGTGTAACTATATTAATGATGGGTCTAAAGTCTAAACCCACGAATGCTATTTCCATATAAAGAAATCACTGTACCCTAAATGAGAGTAAAATATAAAATTAACTCTTAAAATATGAGTTTTTTATTACTAAAATATGAGTTTATACTGACTTCATGGTATTGTATAGTGACAATATTTTTAATATTATATATTGATATTATTGACATTATAACTTATATTTTGGAGATAAAAAAGATGGAGCTTCTATTTTAATAATTTCCCTATATTTTATTCATAGTTTAGTTCTTTTAATATTTTATTCATAGTTTAGTTCTTTTAACTTCCAAATGCTCTCTTTTAAAGGTTGAATGCATTTTTCAAAGAAGTTGTCTAAGCTAAATTAAGGTAGAAATTATAGAACTGACAAAAAAATGAAATGAGAAAGAAAGTGAAAGAAAAAAAATGAAAGCTAATAGTTAAATTCATGGAATTTTGAACAATACCATATTAATATATCTTTTGACACTAGAATGTAATGTTATACTATAACATTAGATTTCAAGAGTTTTTGTTGCGCTTGAAAATAGTTTCTATGCCGAAAGCCCATATTGGCAATAATGTTATTGTTATCAAAAGACGAGCAAAAGAAGAGATAGGTAGAAATAACTCTTCTTTCAAGAGAGCATCATAAGTGTCTTAATTGGCTCTACGTCAATAACCCCTTCAAAACTTTAATTTGGGAAACAAGCACAAATGCAAATCAAGAGGAGCAAAGAGAGTATTAGATTAACAATAATTATCATCAACAAACAAGTAGGGAGTACAAGATATATATGGTAAATTAAGAAATGAGCTCTAGTAGCCATGGATGATTCGGGAGCATTTGTTCTTGATCCACCAAACCCCCTTCCTGATCGTGGCCTTCACTCGCCCTTCCATCGCGTACACCTTATACCTCGCTATCCTCTTCCGCCTCTTCACCTCCGGGTCGTTCACCATCCTCCACGGCATCGCTGCATCGCTCCGTCGCGCCGCCGCCGCATCCGGCGAACGGCTCCGCTTCGTCTCGCCGCCGTAAGAACTCTTCCCGCTCAGCACCTCGATTTTGAACTCTCCCACTCCGCCGCCGCTCCGGAAGCTCGTCCGGCATTCCCCCATTCCCGAGTGACCGGGAGTTAGTTATTTGCAAGGAACGAAATTAGGTTATGAGATTTGGTATGGAAAATAAATACTATATGGGAAAGGAGAAGGAGACAAGTAGCTATAGCTGTAAAGAAGTCTCACTATTGGGTGGCAGTTTGTTTCTTACTCTATTTGAGTAGACCACCATTTGATAAGCATATAAACCCAAATGACAACACCTGGTTTCTTTTGTGTATTTTAATAAAGAATAAATGTCATTCAACCTATCCCCAATGACTTTAAACGGAGAAAAAACAGTTAATTTTATGAACGGTGCACTGTAACATCCAATGATATTGGTTTTTAATATCATGGTAACCAAAGGGATGTTTTATTTATGCACTTAATTTACACTTTAAAATGTAATATTAATTTTTTGTATTAAAAAACAAAAATACATTTAAATAAAATCCCTCCGTCCTAATTCTTTCTTCCAGTTTGACTTTTCCCCCATTTTAATTTTTGGCTTTGACTTTAAATTTTAACCTCCTTAAAAAAGATTTTTAAATTTTTTTTTTACAATCATTCAAAATATAGAGTTAAAAGATAATTGGTGTAAATACATGAGGGTATTAATGTGATTTGTCATCTTTTTTTTAATGGGAAGGTAGTTTCACTACAAAAAATATGACATTTTGTGGCTAACTTTTAGTAGCAAAGTTAATATTTGCCACAATATATAAATAATCTATAAATATTTGTGGCAATTTAAAATTTGCCACAAAATAGTTTACTTATTGTAGCAATTTTATAAATATGCCACTATATCTAAATTAGTGTGGAGGAAAAATATTAAGGGAATTAATTTAAACAAATAAGGAAGTTATTTCTCTAATCCCGCCTAACCCAAATAGCTAAATATTGAGCAGTCTCTCTCAATCCATCCCTAATTTCGGTCTGCGCGCTGTTACTTTGTTTCTATCGACTCCCAAAGCTATCTTCAGAAGAGAGAGAGACGACCTCCAGAAGCTCGTCGATTGTGATATATGGAGTATATTTCAATCACTACACACCAAAGCAATCGTCTATATTTTGAATCTGGACACGCTTATTTCTTCGATTCGGGAACGGCGACACACCCAAAGTCTGGAGTTAGGTATTTATTCTTAAACATATTCAGGTTTTGCTTATGTTTTCAGAATCCTATAAATTCTTGCTGTTTAAGAAACTTGAATCCATATTATTATAGATGTTCCCTTGTCATAGATGAATCTTAAGTTTAAATTTCAATTATTCAAGAATGTTTTTTGTTCTATAAGAGTGAATATCCTAGATGGATTTTGAGTTTTAAATGAGTATCTCTCCTTGTTCTTCCTCTAATTGTTTTTTCATATTCTTAGTCTTAGTGAATTTTGGTTTATAAATTCCTGAGTTTAAGAAATTTTATTTTGTTCTATAAGAGTGAATATCCTAGAGGTAATTTGATTTTTGAATCAGTATTCCTCCCTCTTGTTCTTCCTCTACATGTTTTTTCATAGTCATAATCTTAGTTCATGGTTAATTATGAACGATTCTAGATTTATTAACACTTGGCCTCATGATTCAACTTCCTTCAATTATGCTTATTCATGAATCTGAAACTGTTAGTTTAATACTATTACATCTGGAATAACCCTAAGTGTTGTCCTTACTGATGTTGAATATTGGCTTAACTTGTATTGTTTCCTCTTGGCCATAGTTGTGAATGGCGAGCGCTTTTGGCGCTTATGGTGCTCTAAACGTTGTGGTGACCAAAATCTACCTGGGACTGCTCTGGCATGGCGTTTTACGGGAGGTGCACTATAGGCGGTCGCCATACACGCCATGGTTTATGGCGAGCACTATCCACGCCTTGTGACATGTGAAATAAATAATAAAAAAACTGACCTTGACCTAATTTTCGTTCGATACATCCGATCTAAATGGTGCAGCTCCCCAAGATTGCAACTGCTCCAGAGTCATTGCAGCGTCGTAGAGTCTCCGATTCTTCTGGATTGATCTTCACAGCTTCACTCCATCGCAATTCGCAGGGTCGAGAGACTCCTCAGCCCAGCGCGAGTCGAAGTCAAACCAGGTGACACCCTCTTCTCTCTTTTGCTTGAGGCCCAACTCCATACTTAGCCCAGCGCTAGTCGAATTACTTATCCTTAGCCTAGACTGATGTACGTAGTCAAACCAGGTTTTGCATAGGATCCAGGGTTAAAGGTCCCCAATTGGCCTTAAGATGAGGCCTGAATCCTCTTACAACACTGTCCAAAATTTGATCCCATGTTAGTGATTGACTCTTTAGTGTCATAAGAGCTCCCGCTTTTTCAGACTTGTCAACATCCTCCAGGTTTTCTACTTGCTGGTTTTTGAACCTAGAACATCTCTGAACCTAGAATTATATCTTCCACAAAATCCTTGACCATCTCTGAATCTAGACCTCAGAGCAACCAAAAAATCCTCCAAATTGATGTTAGCTCTACCCATCGCATAACTATCAAACCATAATTTGGCTTTTCCAATCATATTCACAGAAGCTTAATGTACTTTTTTCTCGTGAGACTAGAGCAAAGCGAACCTGCCCGTAAGTGTTCTTGAGGTAAAAAGCTACGATCTTATTTCCCCTCTTGGTGTCCAGGAAGAGCACATCTAGACAAGAGTCCTCACAAATGCATAGGAAAACTTCTCCTCTTGGTGTCGAGGTACTGAACTATGGAGTTGTCCATAATGGAAACTTATGATGTGATAGTCAGGCAATATACCCCAGTGGTAGGATCTTTGTGCCATTCATGAGTTTGTCTCCCAAAAAAATTGGTCAATGAAACACAAGTTTGCTGCTTGTTTCTTATGCAGGATTTAGGAGCCGTGTCAGATACATTGATGTTTTAGATCCATCAATCACGTGCTATTATGTTTTTGAGATTCTAGATGCAGGACGAGATGGGCCTTTGTTTATGGTAAATTAGTCTCTCATTTTAGACTGGAATGCTCGGTGCCAATGCAAGTTCACATTTTGTTCATTTCATATGTGTGTGTGTGTGAATTTCGGCAAGTTGAAATGCTTATACATCAGTGAGGTAGAAGGATTAATATACGAATTTCCACTAATTTTTTTGCAACATGGGTTATACTGCGACTCTTGTCACTTGTCAGGCATTCAAAAAATAGACTGCCCATACTCTTTTAGATTACATACTCCATGTATTTAAATTATTTTTTATGAAGTCCAGCCTTTAAATTTTTGTATTTGTTCAATCTTCATTAAAAGCAAATGAAAGAATGAGATGGTTTAGCAAAAATCTGTGAACGTCATCTTACATTGAAAATCTCGTAAGTGCATTTTGATTTATGGCGTTTTCAGGTTTCATTGGAGCATTGAAAAAGTGAAGTATTTATCCATGTATCGGCTGTCAGATGTTGGGAATTTGTTAGGAAGAGAGTGAATCAAGAGATCATTAAGCAGCATAAGTTGGGAACTTGTTTGATGTTTTAGATGAATGAGCTGAATGAGAAAACCAAATCGGAAGGAAGGTACAATTGAATGCTTTTCACATTTGCTTCAGTTTTTCTGCTAGAAGCTCTCATTTTGATTGTGATTTCATTTGGAAAATTTGTTTTGATGGGTAGTTCCTACAAAGGACCAGGCAGTTACATTCTACAATTGGATGTAAAAAAACTATGGCAGACAAGTACACCCTACATATATATAACTGAGACATATGAGAAATACAATCATACCTCTCTTCCCCATTATGTTTTATCTTCATACACAATTGATAGGATTCACAAGAGTAGTAGACTATATATGGAACACCGCTTATAGTACTAATTAATGATAGATACTTTAATTTATATGTTTCATACATTCAAAGGCATATATAAAAACACTAAATAATTTCTTATTTAATTATCAGCCTCTAACATTTTCTTTTATTGATTAATTTCTTTTATTACTTTTGTTTTTTATTTGCAGATGAAATACCATTCATTTTCCTCTTTGGTTACGAATTACAATCAAGATAGAAGTGACAACATGAAATGAAGAGATGGAGCTTAGATGAGTATTAGAGGAAGATTTTAGGATACCTTTGTCTTAAAAACATGTTTAGCACTATATTTTTTATTTCCAAACTCTACTATATATAATTATATATATTAACATTGTGAACATTTGACTGTTTGGAATTGTTAGTATCATATATTTTGTTTTTAATCTTAACATGACTTTTACTTAATATTGCTCTAGTACTTTCAAATTTTATATTAGTTATTATTTTTCACATCACATATATCATTAAATATAAATACAATGCAAATAATAATAATAATAATAATAATAATAATAATAACAATAATAATAACAATAATAATAATAATAATAATAATAATAATAATAGTAATAACAATAAAAATGGTTTCAGCAAATTGGATTTGCGGCAATTTAGTTCTCACTAGCAATTGCTTTGCCACAATAAAGTGATAATTGTAGCAATTAAAATTTGCTACTCGACACAAACTTTTTGTGGCAAGGTATAATTTGTAGCATCATAAATTTGCTACTAAATATGTTTTTTGTGGCAAATTATAATTTGTGGCAACTAAAATGTGCCACTGAAAATGAGCTTTTGTGGAAAATTATTATTAGTGGCAAATCATAATTTGCCACAAAATCTATGGTTTTTGTGGCAAATTTATATTTGCCACAAATACCTTTTGTAACGGGGTATCTGTGGCAACCTTGTGGCAAATTCTAAAATTGTCACAAATAGTTATTGTAGCTAAATTTTAATGTTTTGTGTCAAAATTTGGTGCCACAAAAAGTCAAGTTTTTTGTTGTGTTTTAGGACGGAAAAAAAAGAGAAATGAGAAAAAAGTTTTAGGACAGAGAAGTATTTCACAAGCAAAAGAGAATGAATGATAACAAAATGGTATTATAAATGCTTATTAATTTTTTTATATATTCATCTACAAAAAATTTAAATTCAAATAAAAAACTTGAACTAAATTTTCAAAATAAATTTTTATTTAATGAAGAAATGTAAAACGATGACGCAATGTTTTTTTAAAAAAAATATGCTAGTTTTAGAATATATTTTTTGTTCGAGATTTTTTTATATAAGAAATCATCGCACAACATCTCCAAATACCAAAACAATTGTTCGGGTCGATACTATTCGGCTCTTTTACATTATTTTATTATTTCGGTAATCTTGATTTTTTCAAAAAATTCTAGGACCTCTACTTTTTTTTTATAGATTGAGGTTCATGAGTTCATCTTAATGAGAGCATTTATAATCGACTCCCTCTCGCCCTGCTCTCTTCACTATCACATCATCATTTTCTTCATTTTATGTACCAGACCAAAACTCTTGCAATTTTATCCCCATCTTATCTTGCCTTTCAATTTATTTTAGATTATTTTTCTTTTATACTTATATAAAATTTTACATAAATATTCATTTATTAGTAAAAATAGATAAAGAATAGTAAAATAATAATTAATTAATATAATAAGAAAAAATTTTCAATGAAATGTAAAATAGGGAGTGAATTGAGTTAGATGAGAATTAATTGAGAGGGATGAAAGTATATGAATTGAAGTTGGAAATGTACTGAATTTATAGAGTTAAAAACTTTTAAAAAGAGTTGGATCAGTCGCACCCCAACCCGCACCAATCCCAATATTCGGTTGCAGCGAGGCGCCAAAGAGGCGAACACAAGTGTCTTGCAATGGGTGGCCGCGGCTGCGCGCCCCGTCCCTTTGGGCGGCCCATTGCAAATTTCACTTGTTTTTTTTTCCTTTTTCATAACCCACTCCCAGCTACTGTAATTTGCTGCGCACTCAGGCCGCCATTATTACTAGTTGGTGACACTTCATCCAAACATATCATCAACAATGGCTTCTGCCACAACATCCACGGCCATCTTCAATCTTTTTTACTTAGTTATTCTCACTTTTGGATACTTTTCTTCCATTTCACTGGCTGATTCATCAAGCACCTTCCCTGCAGAAGCCTTACCTACCAAATCCGGCTACCTCACGGTGAACTCAACCACCGGCTCCGCCATTTTCTACACCTTCTACGAAGCACAGAACCCGATCCCCACTCCCGCGCACCCTCCGATTCTGGTTTGGCTCCAAGGCGGCCCCGGCTGCTCGTCCATGATCGGAAACTTCTACGAGCTGGGTCCCTGGCGGGTGTCTTCTTCCGGCGGAAAGCAGATCTCGATAGTTTCCAATCCCGGCGCCTGGAATCGGAAATTCGGCCTCCTCTTTCTGGATAACCCAATCGGAGTAGGGTTTAGTATATCGTCTACTCCGGAAGAGATCCCCAGGAACCAACGCGATGTCGCCAGGCATCTCTTCATAGCGATCAGAAAGTTCATAGCTCTGGATGCCGATTCATTCAAGTCACGTCCGATCTACGTCACCGGAGAGAGTTATGCCGGGAAATATGTTCCGGCGATCGGGTATTACATCCTGAAAGTGAACGCTCACTTGCGGCAGTCGAGCAGGGTAAATCTGGCCGGCGTCGCCATAGGGAATGGGCTGACTCACCCGGTGGCCCAAGTCGCCACCCATGCCATCAATGCCTATAACTTGGGGTTAATCAACGACCACCAAAAAGCCCAATTGGAGGAACTCCAAGAAGTTGCGATTAGCCTTACTAAACAGGTGATAATTTGGATGTTTTTGACTGGTTTAGAACTACACAGAGTAGCATTTTAGATAATTTTTGCAAAGAGACATTATATCCAATCAATTATATAGTTCAACTCAAAATTTTATCAATTGATTATTATTTTTATCTAATTTTCTGATGTGAAATACTTTAAACAACAGGAGAATTGGAGTGAGGCCACGAGGGCGAGGACCCTTGTCTTGGACACGTTGCAAAACATGACCGGACTGGCAACTCTGATGGACTTCAGGAGGCAAACGCCCTACGAGGACGCGTTGGTGGCGGATTTCTTGAACAACAATGAGATCAAAAGGGTATTGAAAGCAAAGGAAGCCATCAAGTTTGAGACTTGCGGTGATTTGGTGGGCGAGGTTCTGGGGCCGGACGTGATGAAGAGTGTGAAGTATATGGTGGAGTTCTTGGTGAAGAACACCAAGGTGTTGTTGTACCAAGGGCAATGTGACTTGAAGGACGGCGTGGTGTCGACCGAGGCATGGATCAAGACAATGGAATGGGAGGGGCTGGGGGAGTTTTTGGCGGCGGAGAGAAGGGTGTGGATGGCGAACAATGGGGAGGGGGTGGCTGGGTATGTGCAGAAGTATGGGAATTTGACCCATGTTGTGGTTTTGGCTGCTGGCCATTTGGTGCCTGCTGATCAATCACTCAATGCTCAAGCCATGATAGAGAAATGGGTGTTGGAGAACAGGTTATTCTCACAGTGAAATGTTTTACTGAAGACAGGCTCCCATTTGTATCAGTGCATTGAGTTTGGTCTAAAAGTATGACTAGTGTTTTATAGGACAGGTGTAAATTTTATTGCATGCAGTCTTTGTATACATAGTTGAATAAACCAGCTTCCAAGAGAGTTTTACGCCGGGAAGTTGTCATCTTACAATATTTTTTTTCTTGGCATTATATTTTGATCCTACGGCCCTACCCTAGCGGCTCCATATATACCAATGGTACTGTGGAGTGCCGAGACTGAATGCGGGGTTCGGCCATCCCCTATGTGGCAAGGACGAGGCGTGGGCTTAGTATAATTAAAATAAACAATTTACAACTAGACTTTTAGTGATGAACACATTATGTTTGTCTTCAAATAATGCACAATGTTACAAAATTAATCAGGGAGAATGAGCACATGGTGAGGTCGTACATGTTTCATCAACAAGGAGAATGAGCACTTACAATTTTAGAGTTTAATGTAGAGCTTTTTCAAGTGCAGGAGCCCAGCTATGATGCCCCAAAACAGAATCTCCAGCAATACAAAAGCCAGGGTACCCCACTTCTCTGAATGAAACATTCCTTGCAATAGCCTCTCTGAGCTGTCAACCTGCATACCATTGAACATGGGATTTTTTTTGGGTACTGAGAATATATGTCTGGACCAGTAAGCCCCCTCTTTGTAACTATATTAGGAGACTAGGAGTAATCATTGGTAACTCCTATTGGGAATAAGAATAATCACAATCATCATTATTTGAATATTCTTTATCTTCATTTTACAATTGGAATATGATCTGTCATCTTTTGAAGACTGGGATTACTCATTGGTAACTTGTACGGAATATTAGGACTAACACGGAGTAATTATTTCATCAGTAATCTGAAGCTTCAGTGTCATCTTTAACGCGAGATGAATTTCGTCTTTATTTTGTTGAAAATCCAAATGTTTTGCGAAATCAAACTTCAAATAACTTTACTTCTTAATGAAGATGCTCCTACAAGGGCTAGAAACATCTATTTCAGACACAATGGTGAAGAGTGATAAATTTGCCTGGAGAAAAAAGGATGTAAAACTTGATGGAAACAAGAAACCTACTAGACTGTTTTCAGTTGAACGCAAATAGAGACCCTGGAGAGCTGCAGGAAAGAGGTCGCAAGCAGCTAATGCATAGACGATAAGAGCATTCATTCCCATCCACTGAAACATAATCGTGGGCTTCCTCAAATGGATGACATCGACCTGAAACATACTGTTAAACTTTTGCTACTTCCTCTGTCCTTTTCATCTTCATTCTTTTCTTTTTAGTCCATCCCAAAATTAATTTCCTCGTTGTGCAAAGTCAATTAGGAGTTCAAAGGTTATTGTTTAACCTATCGTGGAAGTATATGGTCTCACTAGCTAATTTACTTAGTTCAGACCTAAGTATATGATTTTCCTTAAAGTAAAATGTGCGGTGGACTCACAACATAATATATGAAAGTGAAAGCAATGCCTGAAGCTCCTGCAGTGATGAACATATAGCTCAATGTGTAGAGTGGCTTAGAAAGTGGAACCCCTGAAATAACAAAAATACTTCTCCATGTAAATTTTATTTCATGACAAATTGTTAAATTATACTCTGTAAATCTAATTTATGTTGAACGGGAGCTACATTACCTACAACCACCAACAAATATCCAACAATCAATAGAAAGAAGGAGAATATGGACCAAAGTAATATCCTTTGCATGTGATCCTACACCAAAAGGACATTTACATGAGATGAAGATGTACCATAAACTAAGGTAAATATTTAACTTGGTTTTAAATCAGCCAAATGGCAGGAGAGTACATCTTACCTTGACTTTGACAAGGATGTGCCCATAATGTAATCCAAGAAGACATGTTATGGCAGCCATCAATGAACTGGAAATCGTATATATTTGGGTTATAAAACAAGTGGAAAACAAAAAACCAAATTTTAACTATAAAACCAAAAACAAGTAACTGGTTATGGATCAAAAAAAGCATAATATTATAATGAAATTTTAACCGCCAAATAGAAAAAAGTACAAGTTTGGACGTTTGGTAGTATATCCAGTGAAATAAAAGGGCGTACCCAACCTCAAAATACCCTCAGGGTCAAATGGAGCAAGACACCATCCAGGTGCATTTTGAGGCAATGGTCCATAATCAGGCGAATTGATACTGCATTCCTACTGAGATAAACTGGATTAGCAAAAATGTGGCGACACTGCAGAAATTCAAAGTTCTAGAAAAGCAAAAGCAACACCTGAAGATGAAAGTTATGTACCTTGGTTCTTCTATACACAGGACGTTGATAAAGATGGTTTTCACCTAGAACAAGTCTATCAATGAAGCCAACCACGTTGCAAGGAGGTTCCAGATTTCCCCGCACACTACAATGGACCTGGTACGTAACATGTTAGGTTTAAGGCCTGAGGATGATCAATATTCATATACACCTCATTCAAACTTTGTTTACCAGATGATTCTTTGAACTTTGAACTTTGAACTTTGAACAGAATACGGTCTAATGTTAACCTAGCAGAGCGCAAGAATTTAAATATAGACGTGCAAGTCCAAACAACTACTTGCATTCTACAATTGTCCATGCCATAGAATACTATCAAGTGTCAACAAACTGTGATTGCCACAATAAACATGATAAAGTTCTGGAAATTAAACACTCCGTAATGCTCACCAACATTAAGGTACTGAACCAATCAATACTACAACAATGAAAATGTTAATGTTCAGAATATACCGGAGCAAGTATGTTGAACTCACAGTCTGTATATTTGCTGTATACTGTGGTGCTTTTGAGCTGCCGCTGAGGCTAGCTGATTTAAATTGCCAATCTGGAACATAGAGGCCATATAGTAAGCCCATGTACAAGATACCAAGTAAACCTGCAACCAGGCTGCAAAATGATGATCTGATTAGGCATATGAGGTAATAAAAAGACCTTTGGAAATCTTGGGGAAATTGATTCTTCCTCGGGTCCCAAAACATATCACTACTGCAGTTAATGAACTACATCTAACCACCTCCTATAATTATGCACACAGAAATCATATTAAGAACTGTACGGGAGAGAGTTATATATAGGATCAAGAATAAGAATGGCCCCTATGTCAATGAAGTAGAGTATATGGAAAGAAAAGACTTCCTTGATTGAAACGAAAGAATATGCTTACGCTTGGCACCAGTATCTCCTTGCGAATTTCATTGGTGACTCAGCAGGAGTGTTGCTAACAAGCCAAATCTCCATGACTGATGAGAGGAGGTATCCAATTGAAATCCGCTATGGAAAAAATAGTTGCATTAGATCATAAGTGTGAACATTAATAAACAAATGGCAAAGGCTTTGTACTATGTCACTTTCATGTCAGAATTGGCTAAGCTTGAGTACCTGTAACACGCCCATCCATCTAATCTTCTCTATATCAACTCCATAACTTAGATCACCTCTTCCGTGAAAGTACCCACCTGACCACATATACGGATATACCCCAAAAAAACTTTTTACCATGTAGCTAAAACATAGAAGCAGAACGTAATGCGCAAAAACCTCCTTGCTTTTCATCTGTATCAGCATGTCTATGAAACAAACTGTGTTGGTGTGGGAAAACATAGTGCTGCATACCTTGAAGAAAGACTCCCAAGAGAAAAAGCTTAATCGTCCTCAGCAAAACTTTCTTAGTTGCCGCTGATTTGCTAGAAACTGTCTACATCAGATAGCAGAATGGCACTAACAGCAATTATTCTACCGGAAATAGACAAACCAAAGCTACTAAAGATCAAGGATACAGGCAATGCTCATGAATAGTTAAATACCATCATACCTTGAACACGAGACTCACTGAAAGACCAACACCAAAGAGGAAAAAAGGCATCACAAAGTCCGCAAGTGTTACCCCAAACCACGGGGAGTGATTTATAGCCGGAAAAGCTTTTCCGGCGTCATCAACCAAAATCATCAGCTAACAAAACCCAGCACGGAAGCAAAAATAAAACGCACAACCGAAAAATTCAAAATCGGCGCAATAGAACTACCGGAAGGAAACATTGAAAAATTAAAGTAAGGTTAGGAGGTGACTTACGGCAACAGTGAGACCTCTAAAGACATCGAGAGAGGCTAGGCGTTCTTTCGAATCACTTGAAGGCATAGGTCTTGCTTCCGTCGTTAAAACAGTGATTTCTGGCAAGCTATTGAGGGAGTGGACTGTCGGAGCTTCCGGCGAGGAGCTCCGGAGAAGAGGTGTTCGCTCGTCGGGATCTATCGCCTCCGTAATCGACGACATGATGTTCGGACAAGAGCACGCCGGAAAGCTAGCTATTTTACCAATTGACTGTGTTTCAATGGTGCGCGTTGATCAGCCGTGGAACATACGTTGAAAAACGTTTCAGTATATGAAAGCGCTGCGACTTGCAAGTGGCAAAGCATTTTTATTTTTTAGGACTTTTTTTTGTTCCAAATGATGTGTGCGCGCATAGGTTTTCAAAAGCATAAAAAAGATCAAAGTCTTTAGCTAAGATAATTCAATTAATTTTGAATTATATACATATTTTAGTGTTTTGCATATATGTGTATTGTTTTATTCAAGATATCTCTCTTTTTAATTAATTTACGGTCATGCAAATCAATTGAGACTCAACCAAATGAAAGGTTTATAAATACAAACCTTGTTGGAGGCATTTAGTGCTTTTTTCTTTTCACCCGATCTAAATGATTTTGATAAGATTGGAATAAGTCATGATTTTGATCTGAATATAATTTTGCTTAAAGTTATTTACTTAAAGTTATTTGCTGATTCGTTATATACATTGACTCAATCTTCAGTGGGCAGAAGATATGGGAATACATGTTTCCTGTCTTGATGGCATTTTGTATGATCAACTTCGCTTGTTCGTTAGTACGAGACGACCAATCAATTTCATCCATAAGAATTCGTCTAGGTTGTTTCAATGATTGTTCGTGCGGATAAGAATATGAAGCCCGTTTGTTCAAGACATTTTGATTCGTTTTTGGTTCCTCACATAGGCAATAACTCATCATCTATTAATGTGTGGTGTAGATTGTAAATTAGCATTGGGTAATATAGATATTTTTACTCTCTAAAAGTGGTGAAACTTGTGGTACCAAAATGTATTCGTCTAATAAATTTGAATCCAAAATAATGGTTATTATAGGACGGGTCTGGATGGCGTGATGGGTCGGGATCGGCTCCGCACGCTGCCTAGCTGGACCCGAGACACATAAGATAAGGATCCGAAATCACCAACTTAAAGGCCCACGATTAAATTACTTAGGCCTTCAATGGCATTCATCCTTCCTGCATCTGGAGAAGTTGAAAACCAGTGGTATTATTGAGCCGATTCAGACGCTGAGTGGCGGTTGCAACCGGTGACCGCCCGCTTTTACGGCGGTTATCTCATTGCATCCCTACGTGGGGAGCTATTTGTATCCCTACCGAGTCGTTTTGGATTATATCGGATTGAGATCATGTCGCTGAGACCAAATGCTAAAGCCGATGTTCGCCGGAGCCGGTATAAAGTCGCCGTTGATGCCGATGATGGCCGGAGAAGAAGAGAGGAGAACATGGTGGAGATCCGGAAGAGTAAAAGAGAGGAGAGCCTGCTTAAGAAGCGCCGCGAGGGTCTTCAACCTCAGCAACTCCTTAGCTTAGCTTCTGCTGCCTCTCTTCTCGATAAGAAGGTTCGTGTCAATTTTTCGATTCAATACGTAATGCCTTCCTTTGCTGCGTTTCAGTCGGATTTGAGCTTTTGAACTTTTAGATTTCGTGTACGATCATCACTGGCTATTGTTCAACTCTATTTGTTCCCGGCGATGACTTGCCTCTTATTGTTCACCGGATCTCAAGGATCAATAAAATCTGTCTTGCTGAAGATGCTTAGATGTCCACAGAAATTAAAATTTAATGATGAGATTTTACTACCTGTCTGACCAGCTCAGCTTTGGTGTATTTTGAATGAAGTAAAAACTCTAAGATAATGATTTACTACCTGTTTGACCACTCCAGCTAGAGAGTCTCCCTTCTATGGTTGCTGGCGCTTGGTCAAATGACGGGAATATGCAGCTTGAAGCAACTACTCAGTTCCGGAAGCTCCTTTCAATAGGTTCCAATGCCCAACACCCTGATTTCTGTCAAGGTTTCTCTCTTTGTAAATTTATACACTATTATTCATATATGTTATGACAGAACGAAACCCGCCAATTGAAGAGGTCATACAATCTGGAGTTGTTTCTCGTTTTGTCGAGTTTCTTGCCAGAGATGATTATCCTCAACTTCAGGTTTAAAATTTTTTGTTGGCATGTGTTATTTTTTCGCATCGAATATATGCTAGTACTTACTGTGTATTTGACACGATTGGATGTTCTAGTTTGAGGCGGCATGGGCTCTTACTAATATTGCATCTGGGACTTCAGAAAACACGAAGGTTGTCATTGATCACGGTGCTGTTCCAATTTTTGTGAGACTTCTTAGTTCTCAAAGTGATGATGTTCGTGAACAGGTATTATGTTTTGGAACATAACACTTTTCTTCTGGAGGGGTTTAAGCATATCGATAGTCATAGCCACTTAGAGCTACAATTTTTCAAATGCTAAAATTTCAACTAATCCCTATTGGTTTTGACATCTTTTGAGCTATCAGGCTGTTTGGGCATTAGGAAATATTGCTGGTGATTCACCCAAATGCCGTGATCTTGTGCTTAACAGTGGTGCTTTGCTGCCATTGTTGGGGCAGTTCAATGAGAACTCTAAGCTATCCATGCTGCGTAATGCAACCTGGACTTTGTCGAATTTCTGCAGAGGCAAGCCTCAGCCTCACTTTGAGCAGGTTGAAATTTTCTTCCCCCCCCCCCTCTCTCTCTCTAACCCTTCCTATCCGTCTTTGGCCACATTTGAATGTTAGATTATAGCCAATACATAGCTTAAGCACAGTACCCTGTCAAATCTAGAATTTTCTTTGCACTTTCATTTTTGGGGTGTCCTTAAATGCTCTTACCATAATCCCATTTCCTTTTAAGGATCGGTATGCATCATTCATTTTGTTTCTCTTACTTTTAAATCAGCCACAAGCAAACAATTTCAATTTATTAATAATCGTTCCAAGTCAACATCTGAAGATCATTTTAAGATAGGAGTACTTATTAGTTATTACAGAGTAGTTGTTTGGCTTGTGGGTTTTGACAACATGCTCGTACTAGTTGTTAGAAAAAGATGTAAAAAAATATTTATCTTGTAAAAGTGACTAATGCTGAGTTAGATAAAAAATATATAGATAATGGTTCATATGACTTTGTTATACTCCATAGTAAATATGTAGTAAGTTTCATTTTCTAAAATGTCTATTTATTCGTTTCATTAAAGAATAAGACAGAGAGGAAAATAAGAGAAAAAAGGAAGGAAAAGAAAACGAGAAGGCAAAATGTGCTAAGAGGAGTGAAAACTAAATTCCTCCCATTTTGGTGAGGAAAATGAGGGGAAACCATTTTTTTCTTCCAAATTCCTTGAACCAAACATAGTGTAAGTAAAATAGAAAAGGAAAAACTGACGAAAACACTTCAAACTATCGATGATCCATTTAAAATAATCCCAACTATAATTTTTCTCAAAACTATCCCAACTTTTGATATACTCTTTTTAAAATACTCTCATGAGTTGTTATATCTATGAGACTGTGACAAGAAGTTATATTTGAATTTAATTTTCAAAGTACTTTTCAATCTCTTCTTTTCATTTCTTATTAATAATTTTTTTAAAATTGAAAATTTGTCATGAAAAATCTTAACTTATTATATTGAGCAAACCATAATAGTTTAGATTAAGGTTTGCGTACGCAAACCCTCCCCAGTCCCTACTTCCGTGGGATTCTACTGGGTTGTTGTTTTTGTTGTTGTTGTTGTATTCTAACCACAAAAGTAAGCACACTCTATTTTTTAGAAAACTAGAGCAATAACTGGAATTATTGTGAAATAACCTATAGTTAAGATGATTTTTAGCAGACCATCAATAGTTGAGATTATTCAATCAGTTTTTTCCAAGAGAAAAAGCTAGTTGTAGAACCAACAAACCCCAAATGCTGCTATAGCAACCCTCCCGTCATTTCCTTGTTTCTCTAGCTGTCTAGCAAAATAATTGCAACACTTGATTTTTCGTGCTTACTTGCCAATGCACAATTTAAATCATTAATATCTTCAAAATAATAGCAACACCTGATTTTTCACATAAATACTTTGTATATCTTTTCTTACATATTGATCACAAAAGATGGTAATGTGAATTGTGTAAAGTTTTGACTGTCAATTATTTTGGAAGGGAGGAATTATGTTTTTAGCAAAAAAGTTTATTTGGCTACCTTGATGAGTCAAAAAGCTAAAGTTGCTCAAACCATTTCCCAATCGGCATATAGAAAGCAAGCCCGCACATAGACACATGCACTATGTGTATTAATGTAAAACGGATTATTGTAAATACATGCAGACAAAGGATGCCCTACCCACACTTGCTCGTCTTATACACTCAAATGATGAAGAAGTCCTGACAGATGCGTGCTGGGCTCTTTCCTACCTATCTGATGGCACTAATGATAAAATTCAAGCTGTAATTGAGGCTGGAGTCTGTCCCCGCATTGTTGAACTTCTACTGTGAGTAGATATTATTACTTTTGTCTCTTTAATATGGTCTCCTTACACTTTTCTATGAATAATTAATGATTTTAGTTCTCACCTTTTTTTGTCATTGATTGTCTTCAGTCATACTTCCCCCTCTGTTCTTATTCCAGCTCTTAGAACAGTCGGTAACATTGTTACTGGAGATGATGTCCAGACTCAGGTATTCAATACTACTTTGGTTTGTTTGTTATTTTTCTTGTATTTCTCTGTTTCACAAATTTGCTTTAGGATACATGGTGTTCACGAAGGTTTATTTTGCTACATCATTTCGTTAGTATATTGGCAGGGATCACATACCATAGAGAGAGGAACCCATTGAAGTAACTCTAACCATATGGGTTCTAATATTCTCATTTTCCACATTTTGTCTTTTCCAAAAAAAATCTTAGAATGAGCTCTAGATTTTCCGTGTGTAGTACATATGTACATACATATAGAGGGATGAAATCATTTTCATTCATTCGTTAAGTAGAACATCATTAGTTTTGTCATGAACCTTACTGTATGTTCTAATTACTTGAATATGCTCAGTGCAATCCTTTTTTCATAATCGATTTCCAAATTACAGGTCATCATTGACAATCAGGCTCTTGGTTGCCTTCTTAACTTATTGACTCAACAATACAAAAAAAGCATCAAGAAGGAAGCATGCTGGACAATATCTAATATCACAGCTGGAAATAGGGATCAAATACAGGTAATCCCACACAGGAAACAAAATTTGATCTTGTATTCTCATGTTGGAATGTTTTGCTATTCTCAACATTATAATGCTTTTAAAGAAACACATTTATTGTGCTTTTATTTGATGTTATTTTGATGTGCTTTTGTGGTTACCCGTGATCCTCTCGTTGAAGTATGCTGACATTAGAGTGGCCTCATTTCTAATTCCCAGGCTGTTATTAATGCTGGCATAATTGGACCTCTTGTCTATCTGCTCCAAAATGCTGAGTTTGAGATAAAGAAAGAGGCTGCTTGGGCAATTTCAAATGCTACATCTGGTGGATCTCATGAACAAATCAAGTATGAAGTATACCTCTTTTTTAAAGTCTATGTTTGGTTATTGGAAATGGTTGGGAAGGAACAAAAAATACTAACACTATGTTTGGTTGTTCAAGAAATTTGGAAAGAAAAGGAAAGAAAATGGTTTTCTCTCATTTTCCTCACGAAAATAGGAGGAATTTGGTTTTCCCTTCTCAGTACATTTTGTTTTCTCATTTTTTTTCCTTCTACTTTTCTTCTCTGACCAAACAAAGGAAAAAGATTTTCCTCTCTAACCAAAATCCACGAACCAAATGCAGTGTAAGGAAAATACAACAAGACAACCAACAGCAAACTAAGTATAACTCCAACCCTGTTAGAGTTTGGGTTAAGAGGCTTGGGGTCATACCCTTATAAAACAGAGAGAATGTTTTCATTAGATAGTTGCAATTATGCATTTACTAATCGTTTTTTAGTCCATTGTTTGCTTGAAGCTAAAATGCTACAGAGTATTAATAATGATTCTTATAGCTCCATTAATAATGGACAGGAAGAAATACCGAGGGAAATGTATTTTTTAACCTTGGAAAATACTAAAGAAAAGAAAATCTGATTTTCTTTTTGAAATTTCACAGATGATTAGATTTCCTAGTCTTTATACATAAGAAATATTCAAATAAAATTGAGTTTAAACAAATGTCTAAAATTGATTCCTTGAGTTTGAAGCAATTTTTATATTTTCCATCATGTTCTCCTTCCTGCTAACTTTCCTCTATTTTCTCTATCTAGTATTCAACGAGGTCTAAACATACCTTAACACTATGTTTGGTTTGACGAAATAGGAAGGAAAAAAAAATAAATTTCTCTCATTTTCATCACCAAAGTTGAAGGGAATTGGTTTTCCTTCTTTGTACTTTATTTCTTCTCATTTTCTTTTCCTTTCACTTTACTTTTCTTTTCCGCTCCAACCAAAGAGGAAAAATTATTTTCCTTGTCATTTTCTTTTCTTTTCCTTTATGAAATCCAAGAAGCAAACGTAGTGTAAGTGTTAGTGTAGTAGTCTCCTACTTTGCCAGGTTAGTTGAAGCTCTCATTTGGTGTGTTTTGCAGGTTCTTGGTTGCACAGGGATGTATTAAGCCATTGTGTGATCTTCTAGCCTGTCCTGATCCAAGAATTGTGACTGTCTGCTTGGAAGGCCTGGAAAACATTCTGAAGATTGGGGAAACTGAGAAAGATGCAGATGGTGTCAATGCATTTGCACAGTTGATTGACGAAGCTGATGGATTGGAGAAGATTGAAAGCCTTCAGAGTCATGATAACAATGAAATATATGAGAAGGCTGTGAAGATCCTTGAGACTTATTGGTTGGAAGAGGATGAAGAGCAGCTTCCATCCGGCGATGCACCACAGTCTGGATTCAACTTTGGAGGCAGTGAACTTAATGTTCCATCTGGTGGATTCAAGTTCGGTTGAAGGTCTGGTTCTTTTTCTCATATTTTCCTCCCATATTGTTGATCATA